CGGCGCTGCGCGAGCAGGAGCGAGTGTACGAGTGGTTCGGGCTGGTGCTGGGCTCGGCGCAGCGTCTGGAGTTCATGTGCGGGCTGCTGGACCTTTGCAACCCGTTGGAGCTGCGCTTCCTCGGCTCGTGCCTGGAGGACCTGGCGCGCAAGGACTACCACTACCTGCGAGACTCGGAGGCCAAGGCCAACGGCCTCTCGGACCCGGGACCGCTGGCCGACTTCCGAGAGCCCGCTGTACGCTCGCGCTGGGCTCGGCGCAGCGTCTGGAGTTCATGTGCGGGCTGCTGGACCTTTGCAACCCGTTGGAGCTGCGCTTCCTCGGCTCGTGCCTGGAGGACCTGGCGCGCAAGGACTACCACTACCTGCGAGACTCGGAGGCCAAGGCCAACGGCCTCTCGGACCCGGGACCGCTGGCCGACTTCCGAGAGCCCGCTGTACGCTCGCGCCTCATCGTCTACCTGGCGCTGCTGGGCTCGGAGAACCGTGAGGCCGCCGGCCGCCTGCACCGTCTCCTGCCCCAGGTAGATTCGGTGCTCAAGAGCTTGCGCGCGGCCCGGGGCGAGGGCTCGCGAGGCTGCGCGGAGGACGAGCCCGGCGAGCGCGGCGAGCAGCGCGAGGGCGAGGAGGACCCCGAGAAGGACGGCTCCGGCCGGGAAGGCAGCGGTGCCGAGCCTCGCGCCGGCGACGGGCTGGGCTTCAGGGCCCAGGAGGAATTGCTACTGCTCTTCACCATGGCTTCGCTGCACCCGGCGTTCTCCTTCCACCAGCGGGTCACCCTGAGGGAGCACCTGGAGAGGCTCCGTAGCGCGCTCCGCGGAGCCCCCGAGGACGCGGAGGTGGAGTCGTGCAACTTTGCTGGCCCCAGGGCCCAGGTAGGGCGCGCGAGCCACCTAGCCCCCGCGGGCCGGTCACCGCCCCGGCCCAGCTTTCGGACACCCCGTGGCCTAGCCTGACCCCGGCGCAGGTGGCTCGGAATCCCCACCGCGCGCTCCCAGCCCCAGAGTACTCATCTTCTTTTTACTGGGCCGCTCAGTTCCACTCTCCCCCTCACCTCCCCCCCTCCTGCACACACAGGCACCCGCCATAACAGAATGCTCTAGAAGTCTCTTCCGTGCCGGAGTTGCCACGGAAAACATGGAACTCTCATCCCGGGTCCCCCTCTTGGATGAAGGGTCTCGGGATGTTTTTGGCTTTGAGCATCTCTCGAGCCCTAGGTGCTGAGAAAGGCGAAGTGCCAAAGGAGCCGGCGTGTTAGCTGCGGTTTGGCCACGGGCAGCGCCTTCCCTTTCTGGCCGTCGGGCTCCGCTTGCACGCTCTAAAGCTCTGCCTTACCCCTCAGCCAGGTGGCCTAAGGTGCGCTGCCAGCCTGCTGTCGTCTTTGGTACGAAGGGACTTTTAAAATTTTTCTTCAGCATGTGCCTGAGTTAAAAGGGGTCGTAAGGGTCTTTTGGCTCCTGGTTAGAGAACTTGATTTGCAGAAGAAATCTCAAGCGGAGACCTGCGAACTGACTCAAGTAAAAGCGCGGGTTGTCTGGGTAAGAAACCTTTTCTAGGGCGGGCTGGTTATGCCTTTACCTTTGGCGTAACCTGCTTTCTAACGGGCTCGAGTCGTGCCTCCGGATATGGTTCCGGGGGTAATTTGTTGGGCCTTTACTATAGGCATAAGTATTGTCTCCTATAAAGTTATTAAACACCAAAGTGTAGTAGACGAGAAAGCAGATGAGTCACTTGTAAACATTAAAGATGAAATTTTTATGGAGCCGTGAAAGCAATTTAATAATATAGGCCCCATATAAAGTTCTTGAGCGTGACAATTTAATGGAGCAGAGAGGGGAGTAGGTTTCAGTTGGAGTAAAAATTTTGTATAATAAGTTTATTATCATGGTTCACAAGTTCTTAAAATGTATTAATTTGGATGGCGTACTTTTCAATTTAGGCAATTTCAAGGATAATATATTGGAACAGGGGATCCCCTCCCCAACCTTGCTTGAAAGTTACTTCAACTCATGTATCTGCTGTCATTCAGTACCCTGGAAGTAAAACTGGGCATTGTATTTATCTAGTGGCTCTGCGGACTCAATACCCATAGAATCAAGGAATTTGGGGCTGGAAGGGATTTAGCGATAACCTAGGATGAGCCCCTCCTTTTTAAAACGAGGCTTCTGCGTGAAGTGATTCACATTTTAGGACACATCAAATTCAGATGTAGTAACGCCTAGTACCCAGTAGTACCCATTTATCTTACAATGTTTGTTTACTACTAGTATGCAACTATGTATTTGCTGGTAAAAACCCTTGCAATTCTTCAGCCTATAAAATATTTTCTAAAAGTCCTATATGCCACTGCCATTAAATTTTGAGATAAATCCTGAACTCAGGAGCAATACTTTTTAAACATTTCTTGTTATAGAACATATTGTAAAGATAACCTTAGATTTTAAGTATAATGAAACTGCCTCACAATGTAACCGTTTATATTATTTCATTCATATCATTACTAGGGTAACTAATTTCTGATTGAACTGCTAGTCTTTTTTTCCTTTAAATTTTGCTTGTAATCCAAGTGTTGGAAGGCGACTAGACAAGGGGGAGATGCTTGCAAACCATAGTAATGAGATTTTTATCTTGACTGCAGTGTGTGGCCTTTTCTGGCTACCAGTGAGTGCTGGGAGGAGTGTACGAAGTGAGGCTGGGCATGCTGCCATTCATTTCAGCACATCGTTACTTCTCAGGCGGTGCCCTGTGCTGTGGCCATGAGTTGAAGTGGGGGAACAAATTATAGGATTTACACATACTACAGGTGACGCTGAAGGCTATCTCTAGACACTGGTTGGTGTGTTATACTTTTTTCTCCAATAGTTGTTTAGGGTTACCGGAACAAATCATTTCGTCTCATTAAATTGTTAGGACCCCGCATTTTCTGCTTGTTAGCGTAGACTCTGGGTCCTCCAGCTGTGGCATGTTCTGGCCTTGAAGACATTTTTTCCGCGGATCTTGTAGCTTCCAGGCTGTCAATCCAGAGGCTGCCGATGGGGGTGGATTGATTTCAATCCCGATTCGCTGTAGTCGCGCCCAGCTGTTCCTCGACCTTCTGTCCCCAGTGATCCCGGGGTGTGCTCACCTTGGAGTTTGCAAGGAGGCGCCGGAATCTTCTGCGTTTCTCGACCATTCCTCGCACGTCAGTGCCGCAGGTCGCGCGAGGGACCCACCGTCACGACCCGCGGCTGACCAGCGGAGGGCGATTGGGGGCGGGTCCCGTGTGGCTCCTCCCCTCCCCCCTCCCGGCAAGATGGCGGCCGCGCACCGCTCACGTGACCGGCGCGCAGGCCCCTCCCCCGGGGGGGCGGGCTGAAGACGGTACTCCCTCCCCCGCGTCCCTGGAACCTGCTCTGGGCTAGGCGGGTGCGCGGATTTTAGAGGAGAACCACGTGGATGGTGTACTCTGGTAGTACTAGGGGGAAATACCTGTGGCAGCCTTTTATTGTCCCGGAAGAACTTTTAGACACATTTATGTAACTTTTTAATTGCTTAGGAATCATCCTCCTTACTACGGTCCAAGTATCATCCATATTAATGAATAAAGTAGAACTAATTTTGTAATTTTCTTTTCTAGTAGAGTAAGGGTTTACTGACCCAGAAAGTGTTCCTGACACTTTCAAGACTTGTATCCAGTACCTGATATACAGCAGCTTATTTTTTAAAAAACTTTTAAAAACGTTTACAGGTAGAATATGTGCTTTAATGCGAATTTTATATTAATTGTATGCTTTCAAGTTGACCAGGCTCAGCAACTGTTTAGTGACATACCACAGTTATAATGCCAATAGTTGAGATGATAAGTCCATAAACTTAACCACTAGAATAGACTTATCAGATCATTTTAGAAGAATGGAGGGAGAGTAAATAAGTTTCTAGAGTTTTCCTGGGTGGTCTGGTTGATTTTAGAGTAAATGTTACACGGGATTGTAGTTAAGTGTTGGCATTGCCTTTTGGAGACTTGTGTTGTTCTTCACAACTGCAGTTGACTGCCGGTCAGTCACTTGCATAAAATTCAACAAATAAGCCGGTGGGCAGTAATGAAACTACTCATTAAGAGTATACTTAGGAAGTTTGGGTGATTGCCATAGTTATGTGTTGAGAAAGTTGCAGACTACATTTATAGTGTAAGGGAAAAGACCTGGTTTTAAAAATGGTTCCATTCATGTTAGGAACCCAAACTAATGTGTTAGCAATAGCAACAACAAAACTGCACACTTTTTTTTAAAGGTAATGATTTTCTTTTGCATTGAAAAGAGGAAAGAGGCAAGCTTGCTTTCTTCGAATGCCCAAAGACACCCTTTAACTGCTCGTGAAAATGGATATTACAACTTGTGGAGATTTAGCTCCACGGTTACAAGCAAAGGTGAAAAAAGCATAGACTCTCATAGTAATGGTTAGTGGTTAATGTCGTTGGTATGGCAGTGTTTCTCTGGAGATTGTTTTCGGTATCCTCAAAACAGTTGCTTGGCAAATAGTACTCATGTTTCAATTAAAGATAGAAACAAACTTCTGTGATTTTGTGTGTGTGTGGGGGGGGGTGATGTGTAGAAAGTATGTCGTACGTGGAGCAGGGCTTCCCAGCCTCTGGGCCATGGACCTGTATCTGTGTCCCGGCTGCACAGCAGGAGGTGAGCGGCAGGTGAGCCAGTGAAGCTTCATCTTTATTTGTAGCTGCTTCCCAGTGCTGGCATCAGGCATTAGATTCGCATAGGAGCACCAGGTCTCTGGTGCCAAAAAGGTTGGGGACTGCCGTTCTAGAGGCTGTCAGAGGCCTTGAAACAGAGTAGAGCATATTTATTAGAGCACTAGACTTGGAGGCTTCAATTCCAGCTCTGCCACTAGCTCTCTGCTGTTAACCAATTCACTTAAATCCGTGTGCCACAGTCTTATCTGTAAAACGGGAATCATAATTGCCTTTTGAGGTGGTGATTGAATTAATGAGATAAAGTGCAAAATACTTAATGTACTGTCTTGAGCACGAGTTCTCTGCTGAGAATGATAATTTCTTTTTCTTTTCCACTGAGATTCAGTCATCCAGATTGTGATATCAGGTGCTTTCAGGAATGGATTTTTTCCCACCTAATAAAAGTCCATATGGTGTAGTATTTTCTATATTGTTCTCTATTCCCATCCCTCTAAATTGGTGTTCAGGAAGAGTGGGTAATTGAAAAGTAGTATTGGAGACACATTTATTTGGGGCAGTTATTTTTGTTAATACATTGTAAAGAAGCCCAAAGGAAGCATTTCTCTGGGTCACAAATCATTAAGGTACATATTCTCCCCATACTGGATTTGGAGATGGGAGTGGAGAAAATATATATATTTAGAATTTGGGTTACTAACTGCCAAGAAACCATAGTTTACTTAAATCTTTACCCAGTTTTCACATTTGTCTGGAAAACTATATTTTAAAGCTGTTTCATAGTTTTGTAAGTTATACAAGTTTTCATTAGTTCAATGCACAGACTGGAATCCATTGATGATTAAGGAACTTTTAAAATATATTTTTTATAGATGTTATGAAATTGGGAGTGGGGACCAGTGCTAATTTTTAAGCTTACTTAATATTTTCGTCCTTCCTGGAGAAATGTGAAGCTAAATGTTTTCTTGTTGTTCGTTTTTTAAGAGAAGCGAAAAGGCCTGCACTCCTGTCAAAGCAGATGAGCTTCACTTTACCAGCTCTGCTTCTTGTTGTGGAGGACTGCGTGTCACAGCACTTCTTTTACTCACAGAGAATGCTTTGTTACAAAAGCTTCCTTTATCCAGTCTATGTAAACAGTCCCCGGGGAGGGGGGCGGGAATAGGGAGGGGTGGAAGTGCCTAATCGGTGTTT